TGTTTAGTGTCCATTGTGATCCTCTTGTCCTCGAGAAAGCTCAGGCGTACTTGAGTGGTAGGTGAATTACCAAGAAAAAGTAGGTTTTGTAATAAAAAAATATGTCAATATATTTCTGTCTTTGGTTCATGCAATGTCAGAGTTCAATAGAAACTTCAAGATATTTTTGCCTCCTCCTCATACTTTAATCAAGACAAATAATGTGACTCGTTTTGTGGACCAGAGTAGTAAACTGTCGTTCCACTTCCCGTACATTTCGAAAAAGAAACGCGAACGCCAAAAACACGAACTGCGAAATCTCTCTAATGTGATACTGATCTCTCCCCACTTGGACACGGGGTAAACTAAATCCTCTCTATGAATTAATAATTTAAATCCCTCCAAGAATGTTTGAATTTTCAAACTGCAAAGTACTATTGATCTCCATCACTTCAAATTGAAACAGCGGGTGACACTGGCCGATAAGAGCGGTTTGTTCGCGCAGCACATGCAAAAACCACAAGCGACATACAATGAATTGGCAAAGTGGGCAGCGCAAACGTTCGCACTCGCGACAACTCCAGCACATCTGCCATTAGAAAGGCCCTTAAACGCGGTGCAACACAAACACAACGCGTCGACAACAAGGCGCCGTACATTGACCGTGCAGTTAAATCTCCTGAGCTAGAAACCGAACTTCTCCAATGGGTCCTACGCTGTGAGGAACTTGGCGTATGTCTAACGGGAGAGCTCATACGAGAACAAGCAACCTCAATCACCACCCGCCTCAATCTGCCCCCAACGCAGTGTTCGTCCTACTCGAATGGACGGCTGTAAAGTTTCAGCGCAAACATGGCCTGACAAGCAAAATACAGCATGGAGAAGCTGCATCAACCCACGAGGTGCCGTGCAACAAGGCCGCGAAGAAGTACGACGCACTACGAATGGCTACAGCCCTGCGAACGTGTACAACATGAATGAGAGTGCGTACCTCTACTGTATGTCGCCACACCGTTCCATTACGCGCAAGCGTGTGCCTGGAACGAAAAAGTAAAAAATGGGTAACCGTTGCTCTGACCACGAATGCCGACGGTTCCGATGTTGTAAGGGACCCCTTGTTCATAGGGACAGCCATGCAGCCAAGGTGCTTCAATGGTCGAACTGCCCAAGACCTCGTTTTGACAACCAGTCGAGTAAAAAGGCCTGGATGACGTCGGAGGTCTTTAGCACGTACCTGAAATCCATGAACGATCAAATGGTTTCGGAAGGGCGCAAAATCCTGCAGCTTGTAGACAACGCTCCCTGCCATGATGGTGAAGCTGGTGAAGGTTTGTCAAATATCTTGTTGCTGATACTTCCAAAGAATACAACGGCGTACCTGCAGCCTCATGATGCGGGCATTATTGCCTCGTTCAAGGCGAAAGTCAAGAAGCGGCAATTGAAGAACGCCTTGGACCAGATTGGTTCGGTGATGGCAGGGCGCCAGGACAGGCTCTACGAAGTACCGTTAGTTGTAGCGATGGAGTGGGCGCGGGATGCATGGCGCTCTGTGTCGTCGTCACACACAGTTGCGAATTGTTGGCAACGTACCGGAATCCTGGACTGTGACTTGTCAGCGTTCAGTATCGAATGGCTGCAGTTCATATGAATTGATGTGGCAAAAAGAGATACTGTTAAAACGAATAACTTTTCGAGTTGACGTACTGTGAATAATTTATATCATTTATATCTTTTGCCGTGTCCAAGTCGTGGGGAGATCAGTAGTTCCAAAAAATTTCACTGCTGATTATTGGCTAAAAGAGTGGACACAATGATGTAGAAAAAAGTACTAATACAGAGTATCGTTCCGTTCGAACAATGCGGCATTCCTCGGACAGGTACTTAAAGGATTTAATCGAAAAGACTCGTGAAAGTGTGTTTTTAAGCGGGAAATGCTAACTTGCACGGGTTTTTTGGATATTATACGCGTGTCGACAAAATTAACACGCGGAAACGATGACTTGCGCGTGGGGTGGGATTGCATGTGCGTGTGACAGGATGACTTGTACGAACATCAGGATAACTAACGCATGTATAACAAGCACATAGTACAGGTAACGACGGAAAAATTCACCCAGTGGTACTACCTTGTTATCTTGAAATTTGTATTGGAAATATATAAATTGGTGATGGTTTTTGATCGTGATTGAATTGTTCGCCAAACTTGCTATTGTTGTTTGATTGGTCAAAATAAACCCATTTTCGACAACGACGAGATGAAACTAAGGATTACACGACGAAATTCAATTACTGTGAAGAGTAACTACTGTGAAACGCAATTACTGTGAAACGAAATATTGCGCAAG